CACATGTTTGCTAACTCGTACCCCTTTGCGCTTTTTAAGTCGTACTAGTGGTACGACTTAAAGTTCAGTGCGTCTCGCAATGTCAGCACATTTTGAGATGTGAGAACTACCATTTCACCATCTGTGCCATCTAAAAACTTCAACAGTTGCATTGTCCTAAAATTCTTAATATTTTATTTTTATTAGTTTACAGCTTTACAGCTTTTTATTTTCCTACTTTCTTGAGATCTTAAACTACCCTTGTAAAACCTAATATCCGAGTCGGACAATATGGCACGCGGAGTCTAGCGAGCGGTCAATCTCTGCTATGTGTCAAATACTTTTTTATTTCTTTATTTTCTTTATTTTCTTTTACCAATTAACTTCCTTCCTACTTCCAAGTCTCTTGTCACCACCCAATAAGTTTAAGGGTAGCTGGTGAGAGGCATAAAAAAAGGAATCACTTCTTGACCAGACTTGGTAGTCTTCTCACATCTTCAACATCTTCAAACACATCCTCTTCAAACGTCACATCTTCAAAAACGTAAGTACCAGCTCATACAGAAACAAAGAGTAACTGAGAGTACACACTGACAGTCAGATTTTATAAAAAATTGCAGACCTATTAAAATGGCGAAAAGAATTTATAATAGCTGGAAAGCAGAAGATATGAAGGAGGCCTTAGCTAAAATTGAAAATAATGAAATGGGATTTAATGAAGCACATAGGACATACAACATTCCCAAACCAACACTCCGCCGGCATTTGCGTGGATTAAACACCCAAACGAGCTTTGGTAGACCAAGAGATATGTCAAAAGAAATGGAACAGGAATTAGCAGAACATACGCTTAGGCTGGAGCGTTCTTTTTTCGGGCTAACAGCCAAAGATTTTAGAAAATTGGCATATCAGTTAGCCGAACAATATAAAATTAAACATCGATTCAACACGACGACAAAGATGGCAGGGAAGCACTGGTATTACCGATTTATGAAAGACAATGCTTCCTTGGCTCTTCGAACTCCAGAAGCCACGTCTATGGCTAGAGCTACTGCCTTTAATAAAGAACGTGTATACCAGTTCTTTGTCAAATATAAAGAAATATTGGATGAATACAAGTTCAGTCCCAATCAAATATACAATATGGATGAGACCGGCTTATCAACCGTTCACAAGCCATCAAAAATTATTGCAGCAAGAGGGAAGCATCAGGTGGGTGCAGTGACCAGTGGAGAAAGAGGAAATACAACAACATGCATATGCGCCATAAATGCAGCTGGTGAGTTTCTGCCGCCGATGTTAATTTTTAAACGGGGACGCATGGATGATTATTTGAAATCTGGAGCACCACCCGGAAGTGTATTTGCCTTTTCAAAAAACGGTTGGATTACCGCAGAACTTTTCTGTACATGGCTAAATCATTTTATTTCATATACACGATTAGCAAAGAGTGAGAAAAAGCAAATCCTTCTTTTATTGGATGGTCATTCCACTCATACCAAAAATATTGATGCGATTATTCTTGCTCGGGAATATGGCATCGTATTACTTTCGTTCCCGTCGCACACGACACACCGTCTTCAGCCACTGGATCGGTCTTTTTTTTAAGTCCCACAAGACTTATTACAATGAGGCATCAGCAGTTTGGCTAAGATCTGTTGAAGTTATGTTTGGTTAAGTTAAATTCGATGTTTTTCTAAGTTTTACCCTATAGTAGGCGCTGGCATGTTATCTTATGTTTGTTGTATTGTTTGTTTGTTATTTTTGTTTTTCCATGGCAACCTCGTCAACTCTACACATATGTATGTATATATGTATACAAGTATATAGATAAGACAAGAGTGTGCAAAGGAAAAAAGTTTTTTCTCGTGCAATTGTTGCTGAAGTTGTCTGTTTTGTGTGGAGTGTCGTCAACGCAGCATTTTTTAAAAAATGGATTTGGCGAAGTGGATTGGCCCATTTGGAAAAGAAAATTGCGTGATATGTTGGACTACCATGAAGGCGCCGTTGACGTCATTGAGGGGAGGTTAAGCAGACCTGAGCCCATATCAGCTATGGCTACGGAGGAGGAAGTCAAAACGCATAAGAAGGCGTGTGACCTTTTTCGTAATGCAAATAGTTATGCAAAATCAATGATTTCTAGTTCGGTGACGGACGCAGTTTACCAGAAAATTATGGACAAGGAGACAGCGTTTGAAGCATGGGAGGCATTAAAACTAAATTTTGAAGCGTCATCCAAAGATCAGCTCTACAAGAAATGCACTGATTTGGTTGCATTTTGTTGGATCAATGGAGAGGATGTTTCATTTCAGGTGGCAAAGTTAAGAAGTCTGTGGAATGAGCTGAATAATGGTTTAAAGTCCAAGAATTTGGCTGCATTACCAGACTTGATACTAGTGTGTAAAATTTTGCATATTTTACCAAGTAACTATGAAAATTTCAAATCTAGCTGGTTGCTATTATCAAAAGACGATGATAAGACGGTTGAAGAGTTAATCACACAGCTATGCATGTACGAACGAAATTTCAAAGAGGTCACAGAAGATGCTCCCGGAGATGCGTTATTTGCAAGAAGTGCAAAAATCAAACCTATTAGAAAGTCCAGGAAAAATGACAGTTGTCATTATTGCAAGCAAAAAGGGCATTGGATGACACAGTGTCAGAAGTGGATTTCTGATGGACGACCGAAGAAGAGTATTCCTGAGAACGACACTGTGTGTACCAATGTAGCCTTGAGTGTCACCGATGAAGATATGCTTCAGTTCATTGGCAGATACAGGATGGTGGATTGACAATGGAGCGACGAAGCACGTGACTAGCTGTCCGGATCAGTTCGTTGAGTTCCACGAGTTTGAAGATCCTCGCATGATCAAGGCTGCTGGAAAAGAAACCCTTAAGGCCATTGGCAAAGGGACCATAGAAATTTTATCCTTTACTGAAGGTGCCACCTTGAAATTATCCTTGACTGATGTGTGGTATGTTCCAGGAATTTCTAAAAACGTAATTTCCGTACTAGCTGCCCAAGATAAAAATGAAAATAGCAGATTTCATTCAACAGCAACTGAGTGCTGGCTAGAAGTAAATAGCAAAGGAGTGCTATGCGGAAATCGAGAAAAGGGTGGAACTCTGTTCAAGGCAGCCATTGAACCAGTAGTTTTTGGAAGAGAAGAAAGGGTAAATAACAGGAAAATACTAAGAGATAGTTTGACCTTTGAAGAAACAAGTAGACAGGCAGTTGTTGCAACTTCAACCACTGAAGCAGAGATTATTGCAGCAAACGAAGGAGCCAAAGAAGCAGTTTGGTTAAGCAGATTTTTTCAAGGGATTGTCAAAGTTGACAACTCTGCAGCGGTGAGACTAGCACAAATCTTCACTGAAGATCAATTGGCGGACATCATGACCAAGCCTTTACAGAGTACACAAGAACAAGATTCTTTTGGAGAAGATAGGACTTGTAAATTCAACTTAGATAAACAAGGGAAAGTGTTGAAGTTATGTTTAGTTAAGTTAAATTCGATGTTTTTCTAAGTTTTACCCTATAGTAGGCGCTGGCATGTTATCTTATGTTTGTTGTATTGTTTGTTTGTTATTTTTGTTTTTCCATGGCAACCTCGTCAACCCTACACATATGTATATAAACTGCTGCATCATTGTTCCTTTCACTTTTCCAGTTAGTGTTGCAATAAATTGTCGTTATTAAAACTTGAGCTTGTGTTTTTCTTTAACTAGAAAAACATCAATAGGTTTAGAAAAACCTCAACAAGATCGCATCCTGGTGAAACAATAAAACAATGCAACGTTTCGGAGTTATTGGGTGTTGCTTATCCAAAATCTGCACGCATGGAAATTGCAATGAATGGATTTAAATGCACAGGATTGTGGCCATGTAACCGAAATGTGTTTAGAGATGACTCTTCTTTTGCTATGGATAGCGATGACGATATTTCAGGACTAAGACCCACATCGATTATACAAAATACGGAATGCGAGAAAATTCATGTTAATCTTATGCAATCTTTTCCATCGACTTCTGAATTAATTTCACCAATTAATATTGGTATTGATATTGAAAGTCTACCGATTGATATTATTGCCGATGAATCAATTATTACCTTACAACCTGCGCCGGCTGATAATATTAAAGAATGCCTAAACATTATTTCTCCAGTGCCATCCTTGAAGGACTCATCGCGTAAACGGGCCTCTACTATTGAATTAACGGCTTCTCCGTACAAAGAATATCTGGAACAATGTGAAAAACAAAAGACGACTCCTGTGAAGCGCAAAATAGGAATAAGAGCATCCAATAAGAAAGAAAAAGAGTGGTATTGTACTCTTGGCGATGAGTATAGGGAGGACAATATGATTCGGTGCCTTAAATGCAAAATGTGGATGCATGACAAGTGTGCTGGGGTGTCCAAACGAATAAAAAAATTTATTTGTGCATTTTGTAAATAAATATATTATTATTAAACTAATATATATTCTCATTTTGATATTACCTACTACTACTACTACTTACTACTTTGGCATAGGTACGACTTAGGGTACCGGTTTGTTAAGTCGTACCGTTCACACATTTTTTTTAAAATTGATGTTTTACAAGAATATAAACATTTCTGATTAATAGTTTTCATACTAATTAAAGCTATATTAACTAAAGCAGGTGAATATGTCAAAAAACTGACATTATGTAGCAAAACTTTCAATTTAGGGCCAATTGTATTTTAGGGGCACGACTTGGCCAACCTTCCCCTACATTTGAGTGGTATTCAAAGATAAAAGTAGTACTTGATTGTTATCCGTAAAATGGTAGAATATTATTAGATCTTTTAAACAATTTTAGTAGGTACCACCTAATGAACGAAAATGTCTGTCCCTTAGCACCGGACACTAAGTTGTCCCTTAGTGCCGGACAGTAAACATATTGATATTTCTTGTGAGAATTTACGTCATTTATTCTAAGTAATTAATTTTGTCTTAGAGTATAGAAGAAAGATAATAAGAATAAGATAATTAAAATGGAAGAGAAGAAAAAGAAAGGATCCTGGGAGCCACAAAGCTTACAAACTGCTATTGATAAGGTCATGTCAAAAAAACTGAGTGTAAGACAAGCTGCAATGCAATACAATATTCCTAAAAGCACTATACATGATAGAATAAAGGCCCTAAATCGAGGAGAAGAGGTATCAATGAAACCAAAGTTAGGTAGGTTCACAAGCGCCTTCCCAGCAGAGTATGAACAAGTCTTGGTGGACCACATTAAAGATTTATCGAATAGATGCATGCCGTTCATGAAAAATGAGTTTTTAAAATTAGCATATGACATAGCTGAATTCATGAAGATTCCTCATCGATTTAATATAGAAAAAGGCTGTGCTGGTAAACATTTTTACTACGACTTCATGAAAAGGCATTCTGACATTTCGTTGAGAGCACCGGAATCGACAAGCATGATGCGCGCCGTAGAATTTAACAAACCACAAGTGGATTTATTCTACGACAACCTTGAAAAGCTGATGAAACAGTGCAAATTCACACCCTCAAGAATTTATAACTGTGATGAAACTGGTGTCAGTGGCGTGCACAAACATCAAAAAGTTCTCGCTCCGAAAGCCATGCGTCAAGTAGGTAAACTTACTTCTGCTGAAAGAGGCAAAAACATCACAGTTTTGTTCTGTATGAGTGCTAACGGTCACTTCATACCCCCATTTTTCATATTTCCTAGGCAAAGAATGAATGAACGGCTTATGATGAATGCTCCAGCTGAGAGCATCGGTGTGGCCCAGCCAAAAGGTTGGATGAATAGTGACTTTTTTTTGCAATATCTAAGAATATTCGTCAAACACACGCAACCAACCAAAGAGAACCCTGTGCCATTGGCGGTAATCAATTTTTGCAGAGAAAACCATATTCACTTGATGAGTTCACCACCACACACTACGCACAAGCTCCAGCCTCCGGACAGGACATTTATGAAGCCATTTAAAGATGCATACAACCAACAATGCGACTTGTGGATGAGAACAAATGCTGGATGTCGGATAACGGATTACGACATTGCTGGTTTGGTCAAAAAAGCATTTATAAAAGTAGCTCGATTGGATATTGCAGTATCTGGATTCAAATGCACTGGAATCAATCCATTTGATAGACATTTATTTTCTGACCGAGATTATTTGGCTTTGCAGGCAACATACCACTAGAACAAACAGAAACTTCATCGAACGCACTAAACAACAAACAAGCTATCGTGATATCAAACTCAATCAGAGAAGAGCAAATGAAAGAATCTGAACAATCTATTAGTGAGCCTATAACCACAAGTCCCAAACCGTCGACAAGTTCTGCTCCCGATCTTCTTCAGATAATCCATAACTTATCACCGTTGCCTGACGCAGCAAAAAAACGAACAGCAGCTCGAAAAAGAAAGAGTGAACGAAGTGAAATTTTAACTTCATCGCCATACAAAAAAGTGGCAGAAGAAAAAGAAAATGAAAAAAACATGGAAGATAAAAAGAAGGAAATAAAATCTAAGTTTGAAGTAGCAATGGGAGGTAAAGGAAAGCAAACCAAAGGAATTAGAACTAAAGAAAAGGGCGTAGACAAGGGAAAAGAAGCGACAAACGAGAAACCTAAAGAAAAGAAAGGAAGTGAAGTAGAACCATTAACTGAAACATCTAACACAAATATAACAATTTGCGTAGTTTGCTTAGAAGACACTGACGAAGACTGGGTCCAGTGCTTATCCTGTCGTGGGTGGGTACACGAAGCATGTGCAGACATTCCAGAGTGAGGAGATGGCTACATATGTGATCGATGCACGTTTTTTTAAATATCAGGTGCTAGGGCTATGGCACAAATATGTGTCCGGTACTAGGTGCCACTTTTTAAAACTATACTTTTTATTACCAAAGTTTGATTGATAGTATTAATTATTTTTTAACAGAGGTTGCATTTTTGTTATTTTAATTTGATTTCTAACTTTGTTATCTACTATATATGTCATAATTTAATAAACATTTCTTAAAATATTTTTTGTTTTATTTATAAATAACCTTAGGTGTCCGCCACTAGGGGACTTCCCCCTACCTCTCTACGAGGGCGGATACGATAAGTGGTCAAACTTATAGGAACTTTTTGAGAAATTATTTTACAACAACACCATTCTCTCAGCAATCGAAAAGTTCGAGTATCTCAAAGGATATATTCTAAGGGAGCCATCCCGACTTATCGGCCACTTACCATATACTTTAAACGTAAACAGGGTACAATTTGCCGAAGAGGACACCATGAGGTAGACCAGTGTCCCACTTTCCAGACGGACACTGACGGAGAATAAGGAGAGACAATTATTGACGCCAGCAAATCGTCACACAGTGTTTGCCTCTATTGTGAAGCCGGACCGCACATATAAAGAAGTTAAGAGGGCTTTAATTAAGCGCCTCAGCACCTCTAACGAAGAAAAGATGCCAGCATTGCTGGAGGGTGAATATATTGGTGATCGCACACTTTCACAGTTTTTGTGGGATCTATAGCGCTGCACGAGAAGACTATCTTTTCGACGATAGATTCCGTACGCGCATTCCATCAAATTCTGCTAGCTCCTGAGAACATCCCAAAGACAGCCATAATCACCCCGTTTGTACTCTACGAGTTCATTGTCATGACGTTCGGTCTGCGTACTGCTGCACAGACCTTTCCACGTTTTATCGATGAAGTTCTCTAGGGCCTAGATTTTGTATTCGCCTATATTGACGACATTTTGGTCGCATCGACTACTGAGGAAGAACATTGGGCTCATCTCCCCAGTAAAGCGCCTAAACGACAACGGGTTTGTTATCAATGCTGCGAAGTGTGTGCTTGGCCAGAAAAATGTTAGATTCTTTGGATCAACTTTTACAGAAGACTCATCCCTTGAGCTGCTTCTTTGCAGGCCCCACTGAATGAGTTACTACATGGCAATGTAAAAGGAAATAAGCCAATCAGTTGAAGAGGTGGCAGGTACAGCGTTTCGCAATTCCAAGGAAGCGCTTTCCAAAGCAACGGTACTTAGTAGGGCTGTACAAATTAGCCGGCCAAGCCGGTTAAGGAAGTTAACCAGGCTAATTAGCTGGCTGACTACTCGGCTTAGCCGGTTAACCGAAATTAGCCAGGCTAATCAGCTAAAGGCTAAACCGACCAATTGGCTAATTTTATATTTTATGCAATATCTTTGTTTCCAAATGCAAGTGATAACAATTCGCCGCGTTATCAATACGTTTGTCGGACTTGGCCCGAACAGATATTGTATAAAATATATATAAATATATAAATTAGCCAATTGGCCGGTTTAGCCTTTAGCTGATTAGCCTGGCTAATTTCGGTTAACCGGCTAAGCCGAGTAGTCAGCCAGCTAATTAGCCTGGTTAACTTCCTTAACCGGCTTGGCCGGCTAATTTGTACAGCCCTAGTACTTAGCCATCCAGATCCCACAGCGCCACTCGCGACATTTTACGACACGTCTGACTTTGCCGTAGGTACTGTACTGCAAAAAAAGAAAGTAGACGAAGTGTGTCAGCGTTTGAAGTTTTTCTCAAAGAAGTTGGCTCCGCGGACACCAAGTATGCTGCATGGCCATTGATGTTCGCCTTCAAGCATAAGACCCAGCCGTCAACACCACACTAGGTGAGACATTTTGAGTACACTGGGCAATTTTGCAGGCATTCGTCATGTCGCCGGCGAAGAAAACGCGGCGGTCGATGCCTTGTCTCGTATCGAGGAGATAAGCATCACCATCGATTTCATCGCCCTAGCCGCATCAGGCCTTCAGATGCCTGAAATTGAGGTATCGCTAATGTGCGAAGTATTCACATCGAATGCCAGACCCTACGTCACGCCTGAAAAACCTTAGAGAACAATTCCGCGTGCTTTCGCCATCCAAGCCATCCCGACATGGAGAGAAGAAAATATTCCTTCCCATGAGTCTGAAGGGATTGCAAGCAAGTGTTCGTACGTCGCGATGCATTTAGAATTAGCCTACAACCAGCGTATGATGCACCATTTCCGGTAGTGAAACGCAATGATAAAGTATTACACATTGCGCATCAACGGAAAACAGGTCGCTGTGTCGACCGCTTGAAGCCGGACTTTCTGGTGCAGCAAGAAATGCCACCACCAGAAAAGGAAGATGACGACGGTAGCCATCTAGTACCTATGTTAACCACGCGTACCACCAGCCCAAACGCCGCCGCCGAGTATAATGCCACAAAGAAACAACGATAGTGCGGTTATCGCACCGGGTGCCTCAGAGAGGTCACATACAAGTTCTGTCACACCATGTCGAACTATCGACAGATTGTTTGCGAAACCATTAAGGTCGTAATCGCACAATCGCTGCGCTCAGCCCAAAGGGCAGCACGCACACCACGCACTGTGCACGCGTGCATGTTTAATTTATAAGTAAATAGTTGATAAGTTGACCATATATATACCAAGATTTTGGACGAATAAAACTAGTAGTAAATTCAGTCTTGTACGAGTTACTTGTCAGCACCGAAGAGCCTAAAAACCTCAGCTGGCGATTTCTCCCTCACCCCTGAATATTGCTAACTCAAACCTGCATAAGGAGTTGCCGTCTACCAGTGCGACGGTATTCTGGCTCCTTATACACACCACCAAAGAAGGTGCAATTTAATTTGAATGATAACTCTGTTAGACGTTCTAATAGGATTGCTAGTGTCATTTTTTTGTGCACATGACAGGTAACGTATTTTATTGTATAACTTTTTCCCCAGTAAGGGGGTACTGTGGAGACTATAATCTCACTATCTGTGCCATCTAAATGCCTCAACATCTGCATTGCATGCCATGTAACCCAAAATTCTTAATATCTTATTTTTATTAATTCACTATTTGTTTAGAGCCTTCTAATTTCCTAATTTTTTACCACCATAAACTACCCTGTGAAAACCTAATTCCTGAGACGGACGGTATGTCTAGCTGTGTCTAGCGTTCGGTAATTAGTAGATCCAGGTTCCGCTCGGATTAACAAAAACGACTATCCGTTTCTTTTCCCTCTCATCAATGGGTCACGTAATTTCTGTATTTTCTTCTACCAATTAAAATCTACTTCCTACTTCAAAATTTGTTGTCACCGCCCAACAACCTCAAAGGTTGCTGATGAGAGACAAGAGTGGAAAAAGGACGCTTCTTGTCTAGATTTGGTATCTTCCACATCCTAAATATGCAAGAATATGGTGAAATAACCCAAAGTTGTGATATCGAACTTGGTGTGATTATTCCTAACAACAACCATACAACGCACTACACCTCACAAAGTGAACTGCAAATTGGTTTAATATTGTTATTACCGGCATACTTTTACACAAAAAATAGCGGACAGTACGGTATCAGTTTCGATATACCGGTATTTTGTACAACATTCGTAAGTAGAAAGACTAGTTAATATACAAGTGAAGAAGAGAATGGTTAGAACGAGTAACGTAAGTACAAATAGCTGACAGTGTATATCAAAAGGTGAAGAAAAAGACAAATCTCCAAGTCAGCAATCTTCGGAAAATTCGAAGAAAGCTAACCTGCCAAGACGCGAGTCGAGATGAATTAACGAGCATCGGCCCCACCCGAAATCGCTAGCAGGTGACGCATAGAAACATGCATGCCTGGTAGCAAAGCTGTTTTTAAGAATAGTTGCTTGTATGTTACATTGGGAGTTCACAGTAATATTAATCTACAATTATTATTTCAGTAATATCTCGTATTGCTTTGCAGTGGTATTACATTTAATATTGTATTTATTTTTAATATATTGATGTAATCACGGATTTCCATTTTTGGATTTAATAATTGTATCGGATTGTGATACAGCTTTTAGGTTTAGGTTATGTTGTACGTTTTTTTTAACAGGCTCACTGTTTGCTATTACTGCACGTTTTGGTTATGTTTTGTCTAATCGGCATGGCTTTGTTAAGTTCAAGGCAATTTATATATTATTATGCGAGTTTTATTTTAAAGGGTTATTTTATTGAGAATACTTCACTTGTTCATCAGCCGTTTCTTTATTCGTTCACAAGAGCTTGAGACAACCTCGCAACACACAGCGACAAACTGCCAACGTGTCGCGCCTAAACTCGAAGCTTGCCCGAAGCCGCAGCGCGCGAATTTTGGAGAATAGAGGGGAAGCGACTTTGCGTCGAGGTATTGACATTGATTCCACGTACATATAACGTAGGCATCCCACTGTGTTGATTGGTGAAAATGGATATACCTGGCAAATTTTGGCAAACTGCATTGAAATTGATATATTTTTAAAGGGAAATACATAAATCTATCATTTGCACCGGCATTCAATTCTTGCATTTTAAAATCGACAAGACAACTCAATATGTGACCACATCGACTATCGTTACAAAATAACTCTTTAATTTGAAACAGGATGCCCAAATTAACTTTGGTTTGGCATTTCTAAAATTTAAAAGCTCTGCTTTTTGATCGCACTCTTGATCGCAACTCTTCCACGCGTTCACACACACTTGTACACAGTTAGTAGTTTCTACGACGGCAGTAATTTACTCTGTATTTCAAGAAATCCTTACTAATATTATAAATGCGTATGTCCTGAAGTTTATCGTGCTTTCACGCAAAAACTACTTAACAGATCATCATGAAAATTTGTACACATATTCTTAGTGGTCCCCGATAGGTTATAGGCTACTTTTTATTTAATAAAAATAATTATTTTTTAAAATAAAATAAAGAAATTGTTTATTCACTAATACCACTGCATCTGGTTATTTGACTACTTTAACGCCATCTAGCATTCCAGCAATGAAGCTCACACCTAAGTACTATAGTACCATCACACTGTATTACCGACAGCTACGTCAACATCAAATCCGTACACATATTCTTAGTGGTCCCCGATGATCCCCGAATGGTTATAGGCTACTTTTTTATTTAATAAAAAAAATTATTTTTAAAATAAAATAAAGAAATTGTTTAGCCAATAATACCTCTGCATCTCAGAAACATTCACAGAAACATTCACAGAAACACCTTCTGAAAGTGACTTATCACATATAAAACACAAATCAGCCATAGCTCTTAAAACCGTCCGTCCGTAGTTGCAACGGTACAATTTCAAACTTAACGAATAACTAACGAATAATCTTGACTCATACAAAGTGGAGAGAGTGGCCTTGAATACTATAGAACATCTGTCCCGGTAATGAATAGAAAAGGGCATAGGGTAGGGACAAGTATTTCCAGGTATATAAGTATTGAGAAATTTACGCGTTTTAAAGAAAAGATATATAATGTCGTGTTAACTTAAAATAAAACTAAAATATATAATCCAGAATTAATAATATTTTATACTTAAATAGTTAAATATGAATAATTATATATAAATAATCAAGTTACTTACTTTAATTAAATATAAATAATTAATAGTTAGAACATAAATAATGGGCATTGTTTAATAATTATAATTTCCAAGTAAATAATTGACTTTATAACGTACTGATAACCATAACTCACGCTTGACCTTGCATTAGGCCGTATATGACTGTACGATGTGCACTCTTCGCGCTCTACCTTCAAAACGGTTGGTCGTATGAAAAAAAAAAAGTTTAAACAAAAGTTGTAGGGAATTTTATAGCCTACAACTTTTATAATGAATGCAAATCTCATTTAACCGATAGGAAGCCAGATATTCGCGAAAAACGCGAAGGTTCATACCAATTTGCAGCTTATTATCTTTCATTCCGAGGTGAAAGCCCTAATATGACTGGGCTATCGACCGATATTTTAAGCAACCAGCAACTCTGCCAACATGCCTCGAAGCGGATCGAGTAGTTTCGAGGTTATGTTGACGGTCCTAAGCCCGTGTAAAAGAGGAAGGTTCTAGGGTCAGGCTAGCGACCTGCCCTACGTAAAATAATCCCAAGTGCTCAAAGAAAACACTCTATGCCTCGGAAAGGAACGGATACAACGACGACGACAAATACGCAAAGAAAATGGAAACGAAAACACATCTTCAGAATTGCCACATGGAATATTTTATCACTGAGGAACAGAGAACAAGAACTTTGCCATGAGTTACTAACGAAGAAAATCGACGTGTGCGCGATTCAGGAAACACACAAGAAAGGTAAAGGACAGACCATTATAGATAAATACATGCTTTTTTACAGTGGAGTAGCAAAAGAAACAAGAGCTAAAGAAGGCGTAGGAATTCTCATCCATACTAAATATGCCAATGAAATCGTGGAATGCAAATATATCAACTCCCGCATTATAGTGGTCCGAATAAAGTTCAAGAACGAAACATTCAGCTTCATTGGAATCTATGCTCCAGAAAACTGCAGACAAGAATTTATTAGATCAGCCTTTTTTAACCAATTACAACAAGCAATGGACGAAATCCCAAAAACAGACTCAGTCATCATTCTGGGTGACTTCAATTCACGGATTGGAAATGACCCAATACCAGGTGTTAAACAAAAGTTCAATGAGCCGGAACAAAATGAAAATGGAGAACTACTTATAAACCTATGCACAACAAACGAGCTAAGAATTACTAACACCTATTTCATGCATAACGATAATTACAAATACACTTTTAGCAACAGTCGAGGTCACCAGTCAATGATTGACTTTATAATAACCAATCGCAAGATACACCCACGAACAATACTGGATACAAAGTGCTTAACCTCTGCAAACCTAGGAAGTGACCACAACCTACTAATGACGAAAATCCGAATAAATAAAATAATACACAAACAAATACCCCAAAAAGCAGGAACACCTAAGATCAATATAGAAAACATTCATGTAGAATCAACAAGAAAACTATATCAGGACAGACTTGAAACTCAGATCAACAACAAGCAACTAACAGATTCTGAAGATGTTGAGGAGAGATGGCAAACACTCAAAACCTGCATTATAAATGCCGCAAAGGAAGCGTTTGGAGAAAGAACAACCAAAAAACGCAATACCATTAAGAGGAAGACCCCGTGGTTCTGTGAAGAGATTAAGAACAAATGCAGAGAGAAGAGACAGGCATACCTCAGATACAGGTCAGATAGAACAGAAAGATCTTATAGAGCATACAAAAGAATAAGAAATGAGACCCATGAACTGGTCAGGTCAAAAAAGCAAGAATTCTGGAACAAGTTCTCCAAACAACTCGAACATGACATCTACGGTCTCCAAAAAGAGATATGGAGATTTATACGCGGTCAGCGAAAAGAAATAAA